ACCATGCTATTCCACTCCTGAGCGTGGGTGCTCAGGCTGCCCCGCGTATTCTGGGGGGGGGGGCAAAATTCCGCTCAACACAATAACTGCTCGGGGCAAACTGAGCAACAAGACCAAGGCGACCCCTGCCACGCTATCCGTGAATTTCTGCAACATCAGGGGACTTCACTCGAACCTAAACGCCGTCCACTACCATCTTGAGACGGCGAAGCCGGCCTTGCTCTTTCTGACCGAGACGCAGCTGTCCTCTCCGGCTGATACTTCGTATCTCTCCTACCCGGGGTACAAATTGGAGCACTCCTTTGTGCCTCGGGCTGGAGTTTGCGTGTATGTCAGAGAGGACATCTGTTCTCGACGCCTCGGCAGTCTTGAAGGTTCGGACCTGTCCATCCTTTGGCTTCGCGTAGACAGCGACGACCATCCGCGCGTCTACGCGTGCCTCTATAGGTCCCATAGCGGTAATGCCGAAACAGACCGACTCATCGACCACGTCCAAATGGCTACAGATTCCTTGCTACAACAGGTCCCATCCGCAGAGATCGTGATCCTTGGCGATTTTAACGCCCACCACGCCGAATGGCTCGGTTCACGTTTAACCGATCATGCGGGGAGATCTGTTTATGACTTTGCCTTGTCATATGGTCTGACACAACTGGTTACATCGCCTACGCGGATTCCAGATGTTGAGGATCATACACCTTCCCTGTTGGACCTTCTGCTGACCTCTCATCCGGACGGATATCAGGTTTCCGTCGATGCCCCTCTTGGCTCTTCGGACCATTGTCTGATCCGGAGTGTGGTGCCACTCACGCTCCCCTCGCGGTTGCGTTCTGCAGGTTGCCGCCGTGTTTGGCATTACAGGTCGGCGGATTGGGACGGAATGCGGTCTTTCTTTGCTTCCTACCCATGGGGGCGGGTTTGCTTCTCGCCGGATGATCCCAGCGCTGTTGCTGACTCTGTCACTGATGTGGTGCTACAGGGAATGGAACTATTTATTCCATCATCTGTGGTACCCATCGGAGGCAGATCTCAGCCTTGGTTTGGTCGCTCCTGTAAGACTGCATTACGCAGTAAGCAGGAGTGTTATCAAGCCTGGGCTGCGGCTTCGGTGACTCGGGATGTAAACACCAGCACACTCAAAAAGAAGTATAACTTCGCCTCCAGGTCCTTCAAAAGAGTTATTGCCAAGGCAAAGTCAGAGCACATAGGCAGAATTGGCGAGAAACTAGTTCGCCTTCCTTCGGGAACCCGTGCATTCTGGTCTCTCGCCAAGGCTGTCCAAAGGAATTTCTGTAAGCCATCACTACCATCTCTGCACAGGGAGGATGACTCACTGGCCCACGACGCAAAAGAGAAGGCCGACCTTTTAGGCTCCCTTTTTGCGTCCAACTCGACTGTTGATGACGGGGGGAACACACCGCCGACCATCCCGCGGTGTGAGTGCTCCATGCCGGATGTGCGGTTCTCACAGTGCTCGGTTCGCAGAGCACTCCTCTCCCTTGACATCTACAAGTCGAATGGGCCTGACGGAATCCCCCCAATTGTGCTGAGGACGTGTGCTCCGGAGTTGGCACCGGTCCTAACGCGTCTTTTCCGGTATTCCTACTCCCAAGGCGTAGTCCCGAGTTCATGGAAGACAGCTATTGTCCACCCAATCCCTAAAAAAGGCGACCGCTCAGACCCGTCCAACTATAAGCCTATCGCGATCACCTCCTTGTTCTCCAAAATAATGGAATCCATTATTAACTGCCAGCTCATCCGGTACCTTGAGGATCACCAGCTGATTAGTGACCGCCAATACGGTTTTCGTCGGGGTCGATCAGCTGGTGATCTTCTGGTCTACCTGACCCATAGATGGGCGGAGGCAGTAGAGTCCAAGGGGGAGGCGTTGGCCGTTAGTCTGGACATTGCGAAGGCCTTCGATCGGGTTTGGCACAAAGCGCTTCTTTCGAAGCTCCCTTCCTGTGGGCTTCCCGAGAAATTATGCAATTGGATCACCAGCTTTCTTGCAGATCGGAGCATCAAGGTCGTTGTAGACGGTGCATGCTCCGACTACAAGCCTATTAACGCTGGTGTTCCACAAGGCTGCGTGCTATCACCAACGCTGTTTCTTCTGCATATCAATGATATGTTGCAAGCCGGTAGCATTCATTGCTATGCGGATGACAGCACTGGTGATGCTCTATACACCGGCCGTGCCAATATTTCTCGGGAAAACGTCACTGAGTACCGGAACAAGCTTGTGTCTGAAGTTGAGTCTTTGCTGGACAAAGTCTCGGATTGGGGGCGACTAAATCTAGTCCAGTTTAATCCTCAGAAGACACAAGTTTGCGCGTTTACCGCTAAAAAGAACCCCTTTGTCGTATCTCCTCAGTTTCAAGGTACTCCCCTTGTTGCCTCAGCCAGTATCGGAATCCTCGGCGTCGACATATCGAGTAGCGTGCAGTTTCGTGGTCACTTGGAAGAGAAGGCCAAATTGGCCTCTAAAAAGCTTGGCGTGCTCAGCAGAGCGGGACAGTATTTCATGCCGGCTCAACGCCTGCAACTTTACAAGGCGCAGGTTCGGCCTCACATGGAATACTGTTCCCATCTCTGGGCTGGGGCTCCCCAGTGCCAGCTTCTTCCACTTGACCGCATCCAGCGCAGAGCGGCTCGAATCGTCGACGACCGAGTCCTTTCCGATCGGCTCGACTCATTGGCACTGCGAAGAGATGTTGCATCTCTTAGCATTTTCTTTCGCATTTACCATGGGGAGTACTCTGAGGAATTGTTCGGATTAATCCCAGCCGCCAAATTTCACGAACGCACATCGCGGCAGAACTCTCGATACCATCCACACCATCTGGATGATTGGCGGTCCACCACTGTGCGATTTAGAAGATGTTTTCTTCCTCGCACAACTTCCTTGTGGAATAGTTTGCCACCAGCGATTTTTCCGGACCGATATACGACTTAGGGACCTTCAAGAAAAGAGCCTACTCCTTTTTAAAAGGCCGGCAACGCATCTGCAATTCCCCTGGTGTTGCGGTTGTTCATGGGCGGCGGTAGTCACTTACCATCAGGTGAGCCGCATGCTCGTTTGCCCCCTCTGCTATAAAAAAAAAAAAACTATTATTAATAAATATAGATTTGATGACTGATTTTATAAGTAGTATGTCATTTTGTACGCCTCTCCCCTATCACTGGAACTACCTATTTGGACCCACAGGCCGACCAACAAAAGAATTCAGAGAATTGTGTGATCGAAGCAAGCCTCGAAGAAGACAAGATTTACGGGACCGGGTACCTGTTGAGGAATTGACGTACGCTGCAAGCGTGAGTCAAGGTACTTCGGGAAATATTGATGCGTCTAAGATTATAAAAGAAATAACGTCAACGCCTACCAGAGCTAAGAATCTCAAAGAAACTACTGGTATGGAAGATTCGGTTAAAATAAATCACAACATTTTGCTCACAATTTTACGAGTTCTTTCGTGATTCCCGTAATTTGCGGATTTGAAAACCTCAACACCATCGAAATATCACTGGAAACAGATGTAGGCAAGATGTTCTGCTCAGCAGTACGGCGTAACATGAGCAACAGATTGTTGGCCTACGAAACAAAGAACTGTGAGACAAATTTCTACATATTTGCATCCAACCTTAAATCGGTCCGGCTTTTGTTATCCTGAAAATATGTAATCTGCTAAAGACCGGGTGAGGCGGGAGTTGGGGAGTCTGATACTGGACTCCGATAATAAAACTGATGCTCCATCTTCCGATTTAATACCCACGACTGAGCAGGTGGCAACAATGAAGCCGGAAATTGACTTCGGATTAAAACAAAGAAGGACTGAGAGTGGTGTTCCAAATGCGACTGCTTCTGCAGTAAACATACTGCGCATGTATATGGAAATCGTGATTGAGCCTGGGCGAAAAGATAAACATACAGAAGTCGTTAGCACTTACTGGAAAACAAATAAACATTTGACGTCGCTTAACAATAATGCTCTTCAAACTAGGTAAGACACATCATTTTATTTTATCGAGCGGATGTACGCGAAGTAATATTTGCCAACTTTAATATAATGGACTTCCGCAAAGTAACGCCTGATTCTATTAACTACGAGTATAAGTCGCTTAATAACATGGATTTAAAATATCTGTCAGTGCCAGCAACTTCTGTACCTTCGGAACGAATGTTTTCAACTTTCGACCATTTCTTATCACCGCGAAGGAACAGGTTGCTAGGTAATGCAATAGATCCATTTCGTTTTATCCACCAAAACTATGATTTAATTAATTAATCAAAAATAAAAATAAGTATTTTTTATTGAATAAAGGTTAATAAGTATTAAAAAAAAAAAACTCCTGTTTTTTCTTTGTCATATGGATCATAAAAAACCTTAAGAAAACAGTTTTTTTAAAATTACAAATTGGTTTATACCGGTGCTGAAAAATGTTATCGGTTGGCATTATTAAATCCCTCATTTCTCAGTGGTGTGGATGTATCTGTAGCTTTGTTTGCTTGAACATACTTGCAGGTTTCCTTAGACTACAATAACCACTCACCATCAGGTGGCCTTTTAGCTTGTTTGTCACTCAAAATGCGTAAAAAAAGGGGAGAGAAAATGTATTGGTTATTATTTTTCGTAAATACAGTTAACATTTTGAAGAACAACCTGGCGTTTTGTTTTACTTAATGAAAACTATTTAATAATAATTTCTATACAAAAAAAAAATATGCGTGTAATTGCGTACGCACATACGAAGGGAAACTTCTTTACGACAAATTATTCTTCTCTTATTTAATATTTTACATAAGTAGGTATAATCATGCAGCAATGGTCGTAGTACATACCATTATTTATTCTGTGCCACTGCAGTGAAACGTAATAAACAAATGTTAAGTTTCACATCGATATAGAAGTTTCACTTTAATATTGTTCTAAATAATGGTATGTTTATTAAATAGATATTTACTAGAACATGTAAATTAAACCGGCTCAGAGTTCATTACATCACTTTTCTTTAAAATTGACTGGCCTTTGTTTTCTACTATTAAAAAAGTCAAAGTAAATATATGTACCTAATGCAACAAAAATTGTTCCTATCAAATGTAATAATGTGAGATTATTCTTAAAAACTATACTAGATATTAATAAAGAAACAAATTTTCTTAGTGTTAATATAAATGTTACTGTTACAGAGTTTTCCTTAGTAGCTAAGTCATGGACAGATTGAGTACAGTAAAACTGGGATATAATATTTAATGCAATGATTAACCACATATCACTTGACATGGAAGATCCAATTTCCTTCAATTGAGGGTAGATTACCAAAAACAAGGGCATTGGTATGACATGTGTATAGAACAGCATCTGAAATCATATTGATACCAGTTTTGATGTCTGTAACTTAATATAATGTACATATTTTTTTGGATGTTATTAATTTTTTTTTAAATACTAGTAATGCTATTAAACATTACTAATATTCCCTTTAACCACTTCTGTTAAGCTTAAAAATGCTTGTGTTAGAAGTGGTTCACGACAGTAGTCAAATGGCGGATTAGAACCCACAACCTTTCGAGTTCGCGGTTCGCACTCTGCCATTAGGCTAATGACGCTTCAATCATTAGGCTAATGATGTTATTATTATGCATTATGTAAGAATCATACCTCATCAGGATGCTTTCCATATTTTGCATATAGAATTTCCTGTTGGAGTCCTGTAAAAGCACCTGTAAATAATGTTGAGAGCAATATTGTAACGCCTAAACACCAGTGCATAAAATTTCCTTTATTATCATCTACCAGTGTTGCTCCACCGTACATTGCTACGGCTACTCCTACACTTATGAGTACTGAGCCAACTGCGGAAGTCACTTTTGGTGCACGTTTTTTGGCAAGCCAAGATACTATCATGCTTGCTGGTGATGATGCAGATCTGAAAATCATAAATTTGTTGACTATTTTTAATAGGTAATTGTTATTATATCATAAGATTTTTAAGAAGTTATTACAGTTTCAAAAATATTTTAAGTTGTTTTCACTGGATGTTGATTAAAAAGACTGAGATAAATTAGTAAATAATCTGACAAATAGCACATTCAATTTGAATGGTTGCAGAATAAATAGTTAAATACATCTGCTTTGCTTAAATAAAAGTTTTGTAATAACAATATTGTAAAGCATGAGGTATTTATGGGAGGTTATTTTCATTAAGAATTGTATTAGTAAAATACGTAAAATATTTTTGAGAATTAACAAATTTTAGTGGCTTTCTTAGTTAGAGATAAATACAAATGAAATATGTTACCTTATTATCATATGCAATGTAGAAGGCACATGCAAGGCATATACATAATTATTGGCCACACTCGTTACAAAAAATAATGCAATTAGTATAAAATATTTTTTAAACGGAATTTTGGGTTTAAGCTGAAAATATGTATCATATTTTAGAACAATATGCAATAATGCAAGTTATTTTATGTATGTGAAAATTATTGTTAAGCTGTTAATATGTCTAAACTTATAATGTAGCTGCAGCATAGCTCTACCACGTATTATAAAAGACTTCAAAATGAGTCAAATGAAATAAATATGTAGATTTCTTGGCTGTCAATAATTTAGTTACTTATTTATTTCAAAGTATATTATTGCTTTGAACTATTTCAGCATTCATTTTAGAATTTTGGGTTTGAGACCTGGGGTGTGCATGTTCCATCTTGTCACCCAATGTACACATCTCACTTTCTATTTTTTAAATATTATATTATTTGGCAAGTAAATACTTTAATGGTCTGAACATGTAGTAAGTACTTTATGCTGTTAATAAAAATCATATTAGATGTTTTTATTGTCTATTATGAAATTTAATTTATGAAGTCTTCGTTTCTTACTATTTAATGGTGATTTGAATCACTCTTCATTTATCCTTTATTAAGAATCAAAATGCAGACGTGTTGCCACCTGTGAAGACTGGGATGGAATGCTTTGTTACCAATAAAAAAAAGTTTTCAATTCTCTACACTCACAAACCAATGTCATTTCATTGGTGTCGTAAGAGACAGAAGGGAAATAAAGATGAGATGAATAATCTTCCTGATGATTCAGTAATTTTGTACACCAGAAATGGTCAATGGTTTGTAATATTTTTTTTTTATAACAACTGTAAAACACACATTATGCAAATAAAATAATACAATACAATACAAACACTCACACCTGTCACCCAGAGGGGTAGGCAGAGACTACGGACTTCCATTTGGCGCGATCCTGATGATGCGTTGTTACCAATTATGCAAATAAAACATCCCAAATAAAGAAAACTGCAGTCCCAACCAGTCAACTAAGATTTTTTTCAAATATTATGAGCTGAAAACGACCATACATCCACCTAATGGTAAGTGGATGTTGTGGCCCATAGACATCTATATCTATCCCCAATTAAAAATCAAATAAGATGGAATGCCTCAATTTCAATAAAAAAGGTCTCCGGTTTTCTACACTAACTATACAAAACACAGCAGCACTAAGCTGCAATTTTACGATGGTATACTGTAAGTGTGGTCCCAAAAAAAAATGGGTCTATGAGGTAATCTCTGGTGTCTATGTTCAGCAGTGGACTTTTGATATGACTTTTGAACATGGTCATGCTCGGGTCGAGTTCACCCATTTTTGTGCTGCGGCTATATGTAATACACTGAAATACTGTGTCGCTCTACAACATAGAAAAAATTGCTTTTTGAGTGGCACAGAAATAGCACATTAAAGATTTTAGGTGAATATAAATGTTGAAACTTACCATATCACATTTTCTAAAAATGAGACCTTGTAAAGAAATAAAGAAAAATTGTAGAAATGTTACAAAGTTAGCACTTGCCGGCACTCTTGCCATTAATATTTCCATTAGAAAAGAGCTAAGGCAACAACCGAGGAAAACATTTAATGTAGTAGTTTTTAAACTCATCTTAACTATAGAAAATTAATAAAACCGATGAAATAATATAATTTCGACGGATTAAGAAAGGAAATCACTTTAAAAATAACATATTTCTTATGTTTAACAACTTATAAAATGAAATATATAAAAAAGTTTAAAAATTAAAAAATAAAACTTAAAAAATTGTTCCTTGTGTTTACATTTTATTTTACAATAATGTAAATCTATGGTTTGTAATTTGCATTTGTTTATTTTGTAGTTACGAATTCGGATTTTGCTATTAAGGCAGGCAAATGTTTTCGACCATGCAATCTAGTCTGTCTGATGTATATTTTAATCAAAAAATTGTCTACATTATGCTGATGCGTCACATTACGAGTTTCATTTGAAGATTTTGAGAATAATTTAACGCAGCGGACAGTTGAAGAAGATAGTATATCAATCCGGCTAAGCGGATAAAAATACTTGAGATTCGTATAATCATCAAAGTACAACATTTCCACTAATAGTTCACATGCGCAGATATTCAATACTCAAAATCGCACATCTTCTACATATCAAAGTTCACTTCAAACCATTATTTGAACGATATTAAAGGAGCATGAATCCATCGGCCGTCACGTTCCCGCCAAAACTTATGCCATAACTGAAAAAAGTTTGTAATTCAATTTGACTTCAGAGTAATCATTAGCATGCTACAAATACCTATGGGATTGAAAATTGCGTCGCCTTTATTCACTTCTCGCTCGCACATTGTCGCTATCTATGTATACTCACACCAACCGGTAATGACTGCAAAAAATACGTTGCGATATGTGATTTCCGCACGCTCTATAACTTCAGTTCAACTTGATATTGGAATAAAAAAAAACTTTATAGATACCCCAAAAATAATAATAATAATAATAAGAAACAGACAGCCGAAACAGATAAGTTGACAAAATATCTGGACCTGGCTCACGAGGTGACCGACATGTGGGGTGGTCTGCCGGCCGAAATTATTCCTGTGGTCGTCTCTGCGAACGGGTTAATCCCAGTCAGCCTCTCGGGTCATTTGAGGCGACTGGGACTCCGTGACGGATCGCTCCAAGCTCAAATGCAGAAGGCGGTGCTCCTCGATACCGCCCGCATCGTCCGCCGGTTTCTTTCCCTTTCTCCCTAACCCTCGGCCGTTTGGTCTCCCCTGCCGAGGGCTTCCATCTGGTTGGGTTTTTATATATTTATGTAATTTTTATGTATTTATTTTATTATATTGATATTTATGTAAGTTTATCATTTTCATTTACAATTATATATTTATACAGCCCAACCAGATGAGAAAACTATACAAATACCCCATAATAATAATAATAAATATTTATTTCATTTCGAATTACACATGTTGACATACAGGAATCAGAATGATTACAATTAATAAAGTAACAATAAGTCTAACAAAAATAACATGCTATGATAAAATTAAAACTATGTGTAGCTAAATAATGTAGAATCTACAAAAGAAGATAGAAAATTCATATTTATAATATTAGCTACCTGCCTGAACTAGGTTGAGTACCTGTGTTTCAGACATCACTTATACAAACGGTTTAATAATGTAGTCCACTAGATATTTAAATAATTAAACTAAATTGTATAATAAATAAAATAACTAAATAACAATTATTTATTGCCTACAATTAATACAAACTATTTTAGTATATCTAACAACTTCTCTGTGTCTTCGTAATTTAATTTATTTAGAAATTCTCTTACACTTATATTACAGTCCTTATAACTTAGACTATATACCTTTAGTGACTTGTTGAGCTTGTTATATAGAAAGGGTCCTAAAAATATGTAAAATTTGTTCACAAATGCGTGTTTGGTTTGAGGGTTTACACAAACTAAGTCCATTCTTCTCCTGTCTATGGATTTTAAGTTAAATGGAAGTTCGGTATGTTGTTTTAATATGATTTTCAGGATAAACAACTGACGGACAGTTAATACACTACATGCCAAGTACAGTTGATGTGTAGGAAACATGAATGGACGGAAAGTGGCTACCTTTAGAACTGCTCTCTGAGCACGTTCTAGTGGGAGCAATATTGTTTTAGAAATAGATATAAATAGATCATCGAAGGCAGGTACACGGTGGCGGTGCGGTATACAAAGGGTGGTGCGACATTATTATGTTATGAGTCATTTGTATTCCATTATTACCCCCAATACCTGCAAATTAGTGCAATGATTATTTAGTACATATGTCGAAGAGAAATTTGTTTTTGCGCATTCGCTCTCTGAATTTCTTTAGTGATACAATAGCTACTCCTTTGTTTTGTACCAAAACGGCAGAATTTATTTAAAATAAAAAATACACTAACGATAACGCTTATCGACAACAATGATGCGCATCACTATGCTCACCCTTAAGGCCCGTGAGAGGGAGAGAGAGCGAAATACTCCGATGATTTATGACCCAAACTACATGGACAAAATAATTCTAGTATAGACTCGTTCTAAGAGATTTCTTAATAATTATTGATGATTTTGTTACTTAATATTTTTGTATTAAATACTCGTACATGACAACAACAAGACAAGTACTCGCAAATGTCAATTGTTGATGTCATTGACCCTTGTACTCTCTACTGAGTCCAACGCTGCCAAGTGGCTTTTTGCAGCACCAGCCCATATGTGACAGCAGTACTCCATGCACAATTGGACTTGCGCTTTATATAAGGTAAGAAGCTGCCCCGGCGTGAAGTACTGTCACACCCTTGCAAGGACACCAAGTTTCTTTGCGGCTGCTTTGGCTCTGGACTCAATGAACCGCCTATAGTTGAGGTTCGGAGAAAACTCAACCCTTAACAACTGAAGGCGGTCAGTGTACTCCAAGGATACATTCCGGAAAGTAGGAGACAAGGTGAGCGGGCTCCTTGTAGCGGTGAAAAGACACGCTTGTGTTTTGGAGGCGTTAATTCTCACGAGATTGGCATCGCCCCATTCAGAGACTGCCTGTAGTGTGAGATTTACACGCTCAAACATAGCTTCTCTTTTTGACTAGATTTGATCTCGACTGACCCGGGCACTTAGTTGGTATCTCCCCACAACTGTGCTGTCGTCTGCATAGTCATAGATACCGGGAATGAGCAGATAATTTATATACAGCATGAAGAGAGTTGCGGAGAGAACGGGCCCCTGAGGAACACCGGCGTTAGTCGCCACAGTATCGGATGAGCAGCCATCGACGACGACCCAGAGAGACCGTTCATTTAGAAAGTCCTTCACCCAGACAATCAGGCCAAATAAGCCGTACGCTGAAAGCTTGCCCAATAGACTAGCGTGCCAAACCCTGTAAAAGGCCTTTGAAACATCGAGGGAAACAGCAGGTGCTTCACCACTGTTCTCGAGGGTTTCGCCCCATATGTGAGTAGTATACGCTAGATGGTATGGGCAACCTTTGACATGTTATGGGCCAAACTTTAGCGTGGAAATACGTTCGCGGGCCGCGTTTAAAAGTACTTAGTGCATTTTAAAGTAGTGATAATATTTTTTGCGATAGATATTAGACGTGAAATAATACGACAATGTTATTATAGTACAATTTATTAAAATAACAAAATGAAATTTAATAAAATGGCACATTATAAGACCTTCGAAACATCGAAGGAAACAGCAAGTGCTTCACCACTGTTCTCGAGGGCTTCGCCCCATATGTGAGTGGCATACGCTAGAAGTTCCCCAGTTGATCGATTTCGGCGAAACCCGTACTGACGATCACTGAGGAGATCATTTTGCTCTAGGTATGCCATGAGGTGGCCGTTCGATATACGCTCCATAATCTTGCAGAGTGTGGAGGTAATTGAAATCGGCCGATAGTTGGCAGAGTCGGTACGGCTACCTTTTTTAGGCACAGCCTGCACATTGGCCAGCTTCAAAGATTTAGGCAATATTCCAGTCTTGAATGAGATTCGGAACAAGCGTGTCAACACAGGAGACAACTCAGGTGCACAGACCTTTAGAACTATAGCTGGTGTACCATCAGGTCCACTAGCTTTGTTCACGTCTAGACTTCGCAAGGTTTTAAGAACCTTCTTGTTGGTGATACGGACCTCTGACATAGAGGTACTGCAGTGAGGTAATTGAGATGGTACGCTGTTGCTACTGTCCAGACGCAAATTGCAAGCAAAAAGAGAAGCAAACAAGTCCGCTTTCTCGTTAGGCGCATGCACCAGTGAGCCATCTGGTTTTACCAGCTGAGGCAATGTAGACCGACAGAAGTTTGTCTCGACCACTTTGGCGAGAGACCAAAAAGCTCTACTGCCAGATGGTTTGACAGAGAGCTTTGTGCCGATGCGTTTAATGCGGTCGAAACTGGCTTGGCGTAATGCCTTTTTGCAGGACTTGGTGGCTTAGTTAAAGGCTCTCTTCTTAAGGCTAACATCCAGAGTTTCACGGTCTCGAGCATCAACCCAGGATAAGTACGCCATATGCTTGTGATTTTCAGCACGAGCGCACTCGACTTTAAACCATGGGCGAACTTTACCAATAATTTGCACGTCAACAAAGGAGATGAAATACTCCATCGCTTGACATATCAAATTGGTTATAGCATCCGCGCAGCTCGACGGGTCTTCAGAGGGGAAGCAGACCTGCCGCCAAGGATAAGTGCAAATAAATGCCACATCTCATCCCAATCTGCTGACTTGTATCGCCACATTCTTCGCACTCCGTGGAAATCGTAGTTAGATGGGGAATACAATGACACAGATTTCACCAGACAGTGGTCAGAAGTTCCCAAGGGTGAGGTAACCTGAACATCGTACCTGTCTGGATCGATCGTCAGCAGAAGGTCGAGTCAGTTGGCTGTGTGCCCATCCACATCAGGTACCCTAGTCACTTGTTGTACCAGCTGGGAGAGCCCCAGCGACAAGGCAAAATTCCACGCCTCTCTCCCAGCGTGGTCGGTCTTCTGGTATGGGAACGGCCAGTCCTGATGACAGGCATTAAAGTCCCCCAGAAAAACTAACTGTGCATTAGGGTACCGA